CTTCCCTCTGTTGTGCACTCCAAGTTGCCCCTCTTCTTTGCCTCCTCAAGACCGATCTCCACCAGCTTAGCAGCAATGCCGCGACGCTGGTATGCTGGATCAACAGCACAACAGTCCAACGTGAAGATAGCGGGCGGATTGCGGCCTGATTTCTCGACCTCTCGCATGTATGCGATACGCCGTTTCCATAGTGAGTTGAACATTTGTGTTGCAAACCGCCGTTTCTGGTCATCGTAATCTGTGAGCGCTTCCTCCATGTCGCAGTAAAACGGGTCGCCATAGCCTTCCACGAACGACAGCTGCTTCCAGATGGCAATTCCAGCAACTCGTCTTTCGCCCTGATTGTCTGGATCAGGCACGGTGGCCTTGAGATAGAGGGCATTGGGTTGTCCGTCCTTGTTGGTGGTGGTGGATTGCCATCTCTTCATCAAGATCTGAGCTTGCTTCGCCTGCCCTTCTTCCGTGTCCCAGCCGGGCGTCATCAGTTGCCATAGGGCATCCTTTGCTTGGTGACCGAAGGCTTCGGAAAGACAATGCTGCGCTTGCCTAAAGTCTCGTTCCGTCTCGCAAGGAGAAACAATGACGTCGTTATTCGTGGCCATATTGAAAGTGAACAGAAGTGGTATGAGTGCAATTGTACTTTGCGAGGTGTATGTTGGAGACTACGGCGTATTTATGTCTGGGGTTAGTACACTAGAATCGAATGACTAAAGGCCCATAAAATGCCACCGCCTACAGGTCTCGCGGACACTCTGCTGATGCCTAGTTCTTGGCATAGCATCCCAATGTGGTATCGCATCCTGATGAAGAAGACGAGTCTTAGAGTTTGAAGGAAACAGTGTTATAACACAAGTCCACTTTAGAGCTCCATGTGACTGGGGACGTGAACGAAATGGCGACCAGGCTGCAAGCAATATTATAGAGAAGAGCTAGCAAGGAAGCTTGAATACAAATATTGAGATGAGCTCAGTGAAGAACCTTGAAAATCGACGCGTGCGCGTGGAGATGCAGAAGGGCGCGGAGAGGGTTGGGATGGGAGCGCGGATGGCAGGCGACGGCTAGCGTGGCGCAAATCAATTAGCAGGGATGACGCGCTCGCGCCTGCGACACGCTTTCGCGTTCTCCCTGGGCGCCTTCCATCTACTGCACCAACAACAAACACGCACCCACCAACTCTCCCTTATCACGCGCTTGGGTATCTGTCAATTCAGATGCCAGGAGCCGTCACAAGAGCGCCGGCGAAGCGCGCCCTCGCCGAAACATCCAGCACACGCACCAATGTCCAGCCGTCGCCCCACTCGTCCAAGAAGCTGAAGCTCCAGAACGGCAATGACAAGAGTAGACCGCCGACCAAGACGGTCAATGGCTCCTTCAACTCGAGCCAGGTGGGCCTGAGCCAGTTCGAGGAGACGTTGGAGAAGATGACGCAAGACATGGAGACGCTGAAGAAGGACAACACAGAGAAGGACCAGCAATGGCGGCGGCCTGCCTTACCTGAGGACTTCAATGAGATGACACAAAACCTTGTCTTCCAACAGATCGAGGCTGAAGAAGGCGTGTTGAATGGCGGTAAAACAACCGTCAAGCTCTTTGGTGTTACAGAGGTAAGAAGCGTGCACATGGCATCTATCGACTTTGACTGACCGCGTACCACAGACGGGCCACTCCGTCCTCATCCACGTCACCGGCTTCCAACATTACTTTTACGTCGCCGCACCCCTTAACTTCCACAAAGAAGACTGCGAACCGTTCAAGGTCTTCCTCGAGAGCGAATGCCAGAAGAACTTCAACCAACACTCAGCTGTCATCGCATCGGTACAAATGTGCATGAGAGAAAACATCCTGCGCTTCCAGGGAAACCAGAAGAGTCCATACCTCAAGATCACAGTGACTGATCCGAAAATGATCAATCGCGTGCGCATGATGGTGCAAAAGGGCAATGCCAACTACAAGCGCCTCTGGCCGGCTAGAGAAGACGGTATTCTCACGTTCGACAACATCGCCTACGTACTGCGCTTTATGATCGACACCAAGGTCGCCGGTATGTGCTGGGTCGAAGTTCCAGCAGGCAAATACAGAATGATCAGCCCCCGCGACCGACACTCCAACTGCCAGATTGAGGCACAGCTACACTACAGCGATTTGATCGCTCACCAATCTGAAGGCGAATGGGCCAAACTCGCCCCCCTTCGCATCCTCTCCTTCGATATCGAGTGCGCTGGCCGCAAAGGTGTCTTCCCAGAGGCGAACGTCGACCCCGTCATCCAAATCGCAAACGTCGTTACAAGATATGGAGAACCAAAACCCTTCGTCAGAAACGTCTTCTGTCTAGATACAGTCAGCCCCATCGTTGCGACACAGGTCTTGTCGTTCCAAGATGAGGGCGAGATGCTGATGAAGTGGCGAGACTTCGTAGAAGAGGTCGACCCAGACGTCATCATCGGCTACAACATCAACAACTTCGACTTTCCGTATCTGCTCGATCGCGCAAAACATCTCAAGTTGCAGAAGTTCCCGTATTGGTCTCGTCTGAAGACAGTACAGTCCAAGGTAGAGAGTTCGAATTTCTCTAGTAAACAACTAGGAAACCGAGACACAAAGACTACCAACACCAACGGTCGCCTCCAACTCGACTTGCTACAGCTTATTCAGCGAGACCACCAACTGCGCAGTTACACGCTCAACTCGGTGTGCGCTCACTTCTTGAAAGAGCAGAAGGAGGATGTACACCACAGCATGATCACAGAGCTATTCAACGGCGACTCCAACTCCCGGCGACGATTGGCTGTATACTGTTTGAAGGATGCCTATCTACCGCAGCGATTGCTCGACAAGCTCATGTGTCTGGTCAACTACACGGAAATGGCTAGGGTTACAGGTGTGCCTTTCAATTACCTTCTGGCCCGTGGACAACAAGTTCGCTTCATTAGCCAGCTCTTCCGTAAAGCCCTCGACCATCAACTCATCGTTCCGGACCTCCCGAACCAAGGCGACAGCAGTGACCAGTACGAAGGTGCGACCGTTATTGAACCCAAGCGCGGCTACTACAAAGAACCTGTTGCGACCCTCGATTTCGCATCGCTATACCCCAGCATCATGCAGGCCCACAACCTGTGCTACACGACCTGGCTCGACAAGCAGACGGTAGAGAAACTCAAGATGAAGAAAGACGAAGACTACATTGTCACTCCAAACGGTGACATGTTCTGCACAGCGAAAACTCGGAAGGGACTCTTGACCGAGATTCTGGAGGAATTGCTGGGTGCGCGTAAGAGGGCGAAGAAGGAGTTGGCAATTGAAACCGACCCTTTCAAGAAGGCTGTGCTCAACGGTCGTCAATTGGCCTTGAAGGTCAGCGCCAACTCGGTTTACGGTCTGACAGGTGCTACCAACGGAAAGCTACCGTGTCTTGCCATCGCCAGTAGTACCACAAGTTTCGGTCGCCAAATGATTGAAAGGACCAAGGCAGAAGTCGAGGCAAAATACAACATCGCGAACGGATACACACACGACGCAGAGGTCATCTACGGTGACACAGATTCCGTCATGGTCAAGTTTGGTACGCCCGAACTAGCAGAGGCGATGAAGCTGGGTGAGGAAGCTGCGGACTACGTCTCTTCAAAGTTCGTCAAGCCAATCAAGCTGGAGTTCGAGAAGGTCTACTTCCCCTACCTGCTCATCAACAAGAAGCGTTACGCTGGTCTCTACTGGACGAATCCGCACAAGTGGGACAAGATGGACACGAAGGGTATTGAGACGGTTCGCCGTGATAATTGCCGCCTGGTCCAGACTGTCATCGAAACTTCGTTGCGCATGCTCTTGATCGACCAGGACCCAGAAGGTGCCCAAGAGTAAGTCATTCCGCCATCTTCGCACTTTCGTCTACTAAAATTGGATAGATTCGTCAAGGAGACCATTGCGGATCTGTTGCAGAACAAGGTGGACATGTCTAATCTTGTCATCACTAAAGCCCTTACCAAGCAAGAGAACAAGGACGGAACAGGTGGTTACGCCAACAAACAAGCACACGTTGAGCTTGCCGAACGCATGAAGAAGCGCGACGCCGGTTCAGCGCCTGCTCTAGGTGACCGTGTCGCCTACGTCATGATCCGAGCCGCCACCGGTGCGAAGAATTTCGAGAAGTCTGAGGATCCCCTCTTTGTCCTCGAAAACAACCTGCCCATCGACACGCGTTACTACCTGGATAACCAACTCGCCAAACCACTGGGCAGAATCTTCGAGCCTATTCTAGGTGAGAAGAAGGCAGCCTCATTACTCACGGGTGATCACACCCGTTCCATCACCGTCGCGGCACCCACGATGGGTGGGTTGATGAAATTCGCCAAGAAGACATCAACATGCATGGGATGCAAGAAGCCACTTACCGCTGCGCATGAGAAGGACGGCGCCGTTTGTGAGAACTGCCGACCTCGAATCGCAGAGCTCTACACAAAGACGCTGGGCAAGGTCAGTGAGCTTGAGGTTCGCTTCTCACGTCTTTGGACCCAATGCCAGCGATGCCAGGGCAGTGTTCACTGTGAAGTCATCTGCGCATCCAAAGATTGTCCCATCTTCTACATGCGCATGAAGGCGAGGAAGGATGTGGAAGACGCAGGCAAAGAGCTTGTGCGTTTCGACAAGGACGCGGCGCTGTGGTAGTTCGGTATTGTAACACCAGTAGGTGGTTAGTATGTGGTGTTTTTGGCGTTTCGATGGCATGGATATCCGTCTGTATAACTAAGGGGCTCACTGGGCATGTTCGAGATGCGTAGCGATATCAGCATGTATACTTCTAAATGAATATTGTTGCAATCACTTGTTGCATTTTCTGCGTCTTGCAGTCATTCCAGTGAAGACGCTGAAGCGCATCCAACCTTCCCCGATGCCCCTTCCTTCTCCACAAGCCGACTCTTGTCCGCGACAGTTTATTACCCATCTGTTGTTCCTTGCATATCACCACAACACCATCTCAATGCCTTAGGTTTGGGTCTACAAACGAATCAGCGCCACATGCCCTCGAAGCCCCTCGCTCCTCCACTACCGAACCCCACCTCTCCACGCGCTTGCCCCTCATTCAGATCATGCGTCTCGCCGCTCTCCAGGCCGAAAACAAACATCTGGAAACTCCACAGGAAGGTCTGGAAGAGCATAATCTCCTTCTGCTGTTCTAGCAGCTTTGCGATAATCTCCTGCATCTTCTTGGAAGGCAGCCCTGTTGCTGCTGCGTACTGTGTCTCGAATGCGGTGTAGGCTACGACGTAGGCGTTGTTTTGGGTGATGTAGAGGTCTTTGAGCATGAGTTGGTGGGCGCGGAGGGTGGTGAGGAGGGTGGAGGTGGGTTTGGCTTGTGGAAGCAGGGGTAGTGCGAGTGTGGGTGGGTGAGAAGCTGTGGGGGCTGGTATGCTATGTTGGGGGTCGGACATTGTGGTGGCGGTGGTGGTGGTGGTTTTCGGATTTGGAATCAGCTTTGAAGCTGCAGGCATATCTGAAGGTGGCGAAAGTAGGCGATGTCACGGCTGTGATCAAGGCCGAGGGAAGAGGGTGTGCGCGAAAACGAGAATCGGAGTGAAATGGTGGGATATGCAAAATGATCTTCATTGCCTGGCCAGAAGGGATTAGGTAGCCGTGATGTATGTACTAGCAAGAAAAGGAATGCCGGACTGCAGGCTTGCAATGATCTCAGTGCCTTCTTATCAGGATAGAACGACGAAAAAGCTTCCCGAGGTCATGTTGGGCTTGTGTTGGTCAATGCTCTGGGATTTCTCGGTGGTAGAGTGTTCGCCGTGAAATCTTCTTCGCTGCTCCGTGTAACATTCCAATGTGTATCCCGCCTGGAAATACTGTTCCTGCTACTGCCAGTGGTAACAGAATTCGTCTTGATCGTGCCTGCGTTATTCTGGTCTGCTCCAGATCCACTCGGGCTGTGCCGAACGTATACGCTCGTATCATAGGATATGCTAGGCGTGTGGACACGGCGAAAGAACACAGCAAACGCAGGGCAGCAACCAATACAGATAGCTATAGATGACTCGATGAGCGTCCAGAACGCTAGCCAGGTCGGACTGGGTGCTGTGCTTTCTCCGGACTTTCTGCCGACCTGTATAACGCGCAGAGTGGCGAAAGTGATGCAGACGAAGCCAGATGCGAAGAGTGCGATGATAGCGATCTTCTGCGCGCGTACCATCTGAAGGTCCCAGACAAGTCGGATTGGTAAAAACATGACTGGCAGCATCAATACCAACATTTTTAGTAGGAAGGATCTGTCACATACTCATGAGGTCTGATACGATATCGACAGCGTATGACATGTACAGGCTAATAAGCTGGGCACGAATGTTTCGGGGGGTATTCGGGCAGTCTCCTCTAACAACCAAGGCGGTGAAGTCGGGACAAGAAGTAAGATAAGAAGCGATACAGCCGAGAACAGACTACATCGGAGGTTTTAGTGTGGTCAAAAAGCATGCGATAATATAGACTTACAACGATACAAAATGTGAATACTGCCCACCAAAGTCTTGTCCATACACGCGGAAGACCCTCTAGCAATCTCTTGTACAGTGCTAACAGAGACAGCTTGACCGACCATAGCGTTAACCAAAACAGCACAGTGGTAACGAACACGATCCGAACGTTGAGGACGAAGTCGGACTGGAATGTTGGCCAAGGTTCAAGTGATCCTACCAGAACCTTTGAAATGTCGAAGATCGTAGAAATGTTAACAAGGTAGCATATCGACAAAGCGAGGAACAATGCAAAAGCTAGGTATATGAGATAGTCTTGCAACTCCATAGCTTTGCGCCTCCACACCTGCACGCCTGTACGTACGAGCATGATGGCGGAAGCTAATGCCACCATAGCGTAAGAGGCCCGAAAGAACTCGGGTTCTGATATGATCTCTTTGTACTGGGCAGACATGGCTCGGTGTCTGACATCGGACTGTATCGGCCGTCGACTGGCCTCAGCTGTATAGAAGGGAAATCGCAATGATGGTAGAAAAGTGTAGTCACCACAATAGACATGGTCCTTTTCTCTTTCAGCCTGAACAGTACATATCAATTTCTAAGAATATCAGTAATCTTATTGCCAAAAGGCGGCCAGCTGTAGCATAGATCTGGAAAAGCAGGTCCCATACAGTGCGGCACAGTACATCCGCGGTGCCCTCACTGCATGGGGCGTGACATGGGTCGGACACGGCCCGGCGTGGGATGCGAATGCGGTTGAATCCTCTCAAGTTGTGGCCAAAACCTTGAGGCTCGGTTAGCAGATGGTCAATCTAGAATTGAATCCTACGGTGGCGATATCTAGGTGTGGACATAGTAGCCGCCCAAGAGCTTTGGCCCCGGCCATCGCGTGCGAAAACTTAATCTTGCTCGTGCATGTAGAGCGTTCTAAGTCAAGTTAGATGATGATTCTGAACGGGAGGCCTTCTGGCAACTCAACAATATGTAATGGAGTGATGTGAGCCATGCTGCGATTCGTCTCGCATCGTGCTATGAGAGCGGCGTAGATTGAACACCACTTCGGATGTTCTGGCGGATGCAGGAACGTTAGTGCCGCTAGGCAAAACAAGGGGCTGTGCCGCACGGGTCGGGGCTTATCTAGGCGGCCGCGGCATTGGCGGAGACACCTAGCTTCACGAGCTAGCAGCCCACATATCATTTAGCCACCTCCTCCATGCCAGCACACGTATACACATCTTCCCACGGGTGTCGTCGCAAAGTATGTATACCTAGGTTCTTCTCAATACTGAGTCATTTGCGCATACACCAGTCCGAGCGGGCGTGGCTCTCCGCAAACTCATCTTCACCTGCGGGCGTCTTTTGAACGGGTGCTATGATGCGAAGGATGCTGCCGTGTGCAGTGGGGTCATGCAGACCGGGGGAAGAGAACTATATGCATGTAACGTGAGAATTGGCATGGAGCTCAGTAATGCCGCCTCTTCGCGCTTCTGTGTCTGACCTAAAACGACTATGTACGAAGTCAAAGTATGTCTCACACCCATCCCGTGCATGGGAGATTCTACCTAGGTACCAAAGCAGGAACAAAGACCATGACCACCAGACTTTGGGACCCAGTTGACAAGCGTCGCAGACTACTGACGCCCACGGAAATAATTGGAAGATGGTGTTTAGTTCATCTAAACTAACGTGTTCAGATGTTCAGATCGACTAAAAACAGACAGGGATTTGGCTGAATCCTCCCGAGGTCTTCGACGTACATACACTGCATGTCAGCTTACACTTTCTAAGACTGAAGGCATATGCAAGGATGGAACCGCCAACAAACCCGCCATCGATGTCGGGCCACAACATCCCCCGCGCCCGGGAAATTGGTATCGCCGAGAGTCTACACGTAAGGTGGGAGTGATAAAAGGATGTCGTTCCCAGTACTGGGTCGCAGCCACCATCATTACAGACTCCTTCCTGTCAGTACGCAGCGTTATTTCTGCGCCGAGCACCTTCGTGTCACATTCGGGCAATTCTTTTCGCAACCCCTGTTTGTAGATCGACCCTGCTCTTCCGATCGTAAGGATGAAGTACGCCGTATCATCTGCTGCCCTGGTGGCAGGCGTTGTATCCCAAGCTACTCTCGAACCCGTAGACTTCAATGTAACTGAGGCGTTACTCAAAAATGGTGTGAATGTATCGGCCATACCCTATCTTGCGCCATTCGTGGAACGCTCCTCGTCAAGTGGTTGTTCAGCAGCCGTAAGTCCCTAGACATAACGTAATGCCGACGTTGATACTGATCCTATCTTTAGTGCGCGTCTCTGGGATTGATCTTCGGCGACGACAAGGTCGAAACGCAGTCCGAACCTGCGTACAATGCTTTCCTTGACACTTACTGGTCTGCTCAACAGGCAGACATCTCGCCGAAATGTGTCTTCAAGCCAGAGAAAGCCCTCGACGTATCTACCTCCGTACTGCTATCTCGACTCACACAGTGCCCATTCGCGGTGAAAAGTGGAGGTCATTCTGCTGTACCCGGAGGCTCAAACATTGGAGGCGGCATTACTATCAGCTTTGAGAAGATGAACCAGACGATACCTTCTGAGGATAGGAAGAGTGCCTCGTTCCAACCGGGGCAAACTTGGTACGATGTGTATACCAAGCTAGAGAAATACCAGCTTACCATTATTGGTGGCCGAGTGAGTGACACTTTACACGATCTACCGGCAACCCTACTAACACAGCTTTAGGTTTCTGGTGTAGGTGTGGGTGGTCTGACGCTCGGCGGAGGTAAGAACAGCGTATCAATAGATGTTGAGTATACACTTACCAAATTCTACCGCAGGCATCTCTTACTTCTCGAGCATTTACGGGCTGTCATGCGACAATGTCATCTCCTTCGAGCTGGTCACGGCAACCGGAGCGGTAATAACCGTCAGCAAGAATTCCTTTCCCGACCTTTTCTGGGCTCTTCGAGGAGGTGGAAACAACTTCGGACTCGTTACCAAATTCAACGTCAACGCACTTCCGAGAGCTGATACGATGTTTGGTGGATCTCGCTCATATCCCGAAAGCGCATTCCCCGCGTTGCTTAAAGCCTATTACAACCTCGGTATGAACGCCAATCAGGACGGGAAAGCGCATCAGATCTTGTCATTCGTCGCATATGGAGGTACACCGATGTTCGCACTCGTCGAGCTTGAGTATTCTGACCCCGTTACGAACGCCACCATTCTGGAGGAGTACAATGCCATCGAAGGCGCCACCAGCGACACGACAGCCGTCAGGAGTCTCCCGGAACTCACCACGCTGATTGATGGCAACGGGAAATATGACGGCAAGCGTCAGGCTTTCTGGACTTGGACGACTAAGCTGGATCTCGAATTGGCTACACTCTTCAAAGACATCTTCTCTGAGGAACTCGAAAGCGTCGCTGACGTAGCGAACCTGACGATCGGTTTCAGCCTCCAGGTTATCACCGACCCAATACTAGAGAAAACCAAATTGAATGGCGGCAACGCACTCGGACTGGACCCTAACGAAGGCCCTCTCATGCTGTGTCTGGTGTCTCCAAGCTGGAGTGACAGTGCGGATGATGAGAGGATCAACAAGTTTGCTGCTCGCATCGTGGATCGCAGTGTGGAAGCTGCCAAGGCTGCCGGTAAGGCGAATGGCTACTTATACATGAACTACGCCAGCCCGTGGCAGGACCCTATTGCTGGGTACGGTTCCGAAAACCAGGCTAGGCTGAAGGCCATCTCCAAAAAGTATGATCCTACTGGTGTGTTTGAGATCCTCCAACCTGGCTACTTCAAGCTCAACGGCGCGCCAAGGAACGACTTGTAAATATTCCAATTCTTTACGTATTGTACATGGTAGACGCATTTGAACAATTCATGCCGTTCGTATGATCTAATCTTCTCTCCAATTACGCTGCTTTGATAACTCTCCATTCTCCTGCTCATTTCTCATCTTTTGGCTTGGTGGTATCACTGCCTATAAAATCACGTTAGCGATTATCTTAGGTTGACTGGAGGTAGACATTCAGAGGGTTGTTTGACTGGCGTTATAGAAGACGATCGGATGGCGGTTCCTGAAGTGGCAAGGACGTCAATATGGTGAAGTGAAAGTGGCTTCACGTGACATCCTTCCGATCAACATATCATCGGCCTGCATCGTGCTGGAGGCTATCTATTGGGTGCTATGCATCTTCCAAAAGCTCATACTAAGAGACCGCAGCAGATTCGGCGCCATTGCGACATCAGATGGTCTTCAGAAGCGGTGTGTAGCCGCTCAGTGAGCGCCCGCAAACGCGCAACGACGCAAAACTTTGCTGGACCCTTTTTCTTTTCGCGACGGTATCCCACACCTTATCAAGTTAATATTGGCAGCACGAACAATCTCGACATCACAAAGCTTTTCGTTCGCCCGTTACCTGCGTCTTCCCAATCACATCCTCACAATCGTGCCCACCGCCGCCGTCCGATCAGTCAGTACATCAACAAGCTACCGCCGAAGCTGTCACCGCCAATTGCAGCTCCCCAAGACAACATGGCACCTCGTTCGCGCCTGCCTTCGCGCGATCCCCTCCTCCAAGACGAGAGCGACAGGCTCGTCTACGCGAGCAAGCGCGCCGTGGACAGACAGAACTCCGAGATCTTCAAGCTGGATGACCAGTACGAAGAGCTTCTTGATCAGGCCGAGAATGCTCGACATGAGCAAGAGAAGCTGATCGAAGCCTACCATGGCGCTGACAGCAAAGTGACCAGACTGGATGGTCAGAACAAGAGGCTGAGGGCGCAGGTCAAGCTCTTGGGGGTGGAGAACGACGAGCTGAAAGCTCACAACAGCGATCTCGTCCGGCGTCTGGCGGAGAGCGAGCGAGAGAACGCTCGTCTCAAGTCTGCTGAGAAAGAGAAGAAGCGCAAGCGCGAGGACTTGCCGTCGCCGTTTGAGGAGGGTCCAGATGCGGACGAGAGCGCATCCAAGACAGAAGAGAGGCCTCAGGCCAAGGTCCACGGGGATTTGGTCATTGGCACGCCGAAGCCACAAGAGATGGCTGCTGCAGTAGAGGAGGTGAAGCGGGCTCACAAGAGACCCAGGCGACGGCGTCACCGCGATGACACAAGGTATGTCAACATATATCATATTGTCGTCCTCAACTAACATCCATGATAGCAGGTCTACCGTCAAGGCTGCTGTCGAGGTGGAGGCGGATGTGGTGGAGAAGATGAATGCGTAGATACGGGAGACGTTCGAGGAGGGCGGTAGGATACTGCGTGGTGTGTACGTGGATGTGTAGGATAGATAGATAGTCGCCTCAATACTACTGAGTATCTCCCCACCGCTACATGGTATCTTGTATCTTGTGGCTTTGTAGCCATGTGGACCCCAAACTTGTGCTAACATCTCACTTTTTGAAGGAAAACTCTTCCTCAATTCCATGCAACAAGGCCTGGAGATCAATGAAAAGAAAGTGTTGGGCGCGAGACACCCGGTTCACCAGATTCACACCAAAGGTTGCGACCTGACACTCGCACGATTACGACCACAAGGCAACTCGAGCCTCAAATGACCGACCTCGCGTGTTACTCACGGGCAGCCGGAGCTGCGAGCGTGATGGTAATCCCATGCAGATGCGAGTATCATCCCATAGAATGGGTATGTACTCTGAGCGAACGATACCCACCGAGGTAAGTATGTTCAACGAACGAGAGTCAAGGACAAGAGAAGATGCAGTGCTTGCAAGCGCCGCTCCAATAACAGACCCCAGGGCTGCTGGACTGTTCTGTTATAATCTCAACTTGTGAGCTTGCTGGTTGAAGTTCTTGCTGGGACCTCGCCGCACCCGAAGGCGACGTAACAGCTGCGCCTAAAGAAGAAGAGGAGGAATTGGGCGGGAAGTCGAGTATATATGTGCGACGAGAGGGCGCTAGTTAGCGAGCACGTGAGCTGTTTTTCATCGCCTGGCTGTCAGTCTGGCGGCGTAGATGCGCTGTTTGTGTGACCAATAAGTGGAGAAAGTGAAGGTGAGAAGCCGCTAGTGACGAAAGCAAGAGATCTCTAGGCAACCATCGAATCAGATACTACCACTCAAATACCTCCGTCGAACAAGACACTTCCTTTCTTTGTCACTTCACTACCTACGCGTCCAATCAATATCATACAAGATGCCCGTCAACAACAGTTCCACCCAGACAGGCGACGTCACCACTCACGCCGACGCGACCGGCGAGCACGACCTCACCATCGACCGTAGCTCGCGGATCAATGAGCTCAAGGCGACTCAGACGTCACTCGTGGAGCTGATGTTCGATTTGGTCAAAGATAAGGCAGAAAGCGTCGGCAAGGATGCGTACCTGACGCAGATGGAGAAGCGGCTGGAAGAGTTGGAGGAGACCCTTCGGCAGCAGCGCGAATGTCTGGACGAGTCGGAGCGCGAGTGTCAGTCTCTGACTCTTGCAGCGAAGATGTACAAAATGAAGAGCGAGTTGTACGATCGCAGGTAGGTCCTTCCATGAGTCTTTGGATGGCTGAGACTAATACATTACCCTCAGTGTTACTCAAGAGACCGCCATGTCTAAGCAGGACGGCTACGTGCCTGACCTCCCTGAAGCTCCCAAGCGAAGCTTGGGTGAGATGCAGTACGTACATCTGAACACGTGACCGAGCTCCACTGACATGTACAGATCCGAGAGTGAGAGCCAGCCTGCACCCGCCGCCAAGCGAGTCAAGGTCGCTAAGGAGCGTATCGTCGTGTGCATTTTCTGCTTCCGGAATGGCATGCGGTGTGACTCCGAAGAGCCATGTCAGAACTGCCTGAAGAACCGTAGCAAGTGCCAGCGGGCGAGGTGTGCCAACTACAAGGCTGGCAAATGTTCCGTCCCGACTTGTACCAGGGTACATGAAGATGACGAGCGGAAATACAAGAGGACCGTACATGCAGGTCATGTGGGCAGGAAGGCTACGGGTCGTATGTCCAAGGGCGGTCAAGGTGGTGATGACGATGCGAAGGATGGTGATGATGATGCGAAGGGTGGTGATGATGATGCAGAGCCAGGCGGTGGTGGAGTAGGTTTGTTGGCGGAAGGTCTCTAAGGATGGAGTTAGGAAGGACAGTGTTCATAGAAGCCTGGGGGTCGTCAGCTCAATCACGGAGAGAAAAGACACCACCCCTGAAACAATGTATCCACAAACATCATCGTAGAGATCTGAGTTCGAGAATCTAAAAGTACCCGAAGGACAGCACGCTTCACCATACCATCACTTCCGAAGCCTCATAATACAAAGTAGCCATCATAACAATCCCCTCAACCAAGCATACTCCTCTTCCTCCCCCTCAATCTAACCCCTTCTAACCTCTTTAGTACACCCCTAGCCCCCTTCCCACACTCTCCATACGCCTTGAGCACTTCCTGGAACAGCGGCTCCGCAGCGGGATGCGTTGCCGAGAACGCCCTCTCAAGGACGTACAGATCAACAGCCTTATCCTCGTCTTGTATGCTCGCAGTCGTAAGACCGAAATCGATGAGGAAGATGTCGCCAGCCAGCGAGTTGGTGTTGGACTCTTGCGGCGGGTCCGCAGGGGGGAGGTCAGGAGGTTCTTCGCCGTTCATGGCTGCTTCGCGGAGTGAGCTCGTTGTCTGTTTTCCGCGTGGTATTCGACGTTGCTGTTGTTGTTGTGCTGGAGTGTCTTGCGACTTGGGTGTGCGTAACATGATGTTGCTTGTTGTGAGATCTCCGTGACATACGCCCAGTTCGTGCAGCTTGCCTACTTCCCGTCCGACTCTTCGCATTAGGTCTAGTATCTCTTCTTGTCCTTCCTGCGCTTCTGCGTTGCCGCTCTCTGCGTCTTTCTTCTCTTTTTCTCTCTGCGTGACTTGATGTGCCCACCCGTCCAACACTTTCCTTACAGTCCTGCCATCGACATACTCCAGCACCAACCAGCCCGCATCCCAGTCCGCGCCAATCACCCCCGGTACATTGACGCCATCCCGCTTGACTCTTATAAGACTTCTTGCCTCGGCCAGTAACCTCTGCTTTGTGAGGCGCTTGTCTAAAGTGGGATGTCTGTATGGCTTCGGTGGCCGGTATTTGACGACGACGGGCGTATGGGGGGTGAGGAAAGTGGTCTTGTATACGAGGGCCTCAGCACCTTGTGTTATGATTTCCAGTGCATTTTGAGAGAAAGGCGCGGGGAGTGTGTGGAGGGGACGCGACGTTTCGGGGGGTGGTGGGGGTTCGATTGGAGGGACGACAGGCGGCTCGGCCATTGCGGTGCGGTTTGTATTGATGGGCGTGGCTTGCTGCGATTTCTTGGTTTTGTATTGACCAGAGGATGACGTGTTGACTATTTAGGGCGTAGGTGAGTTCGGGATGCGTGGTGCTCGGTGTAGATATTTTGGTGTTGACAATTGAAGCTGCGCAGTTGCCCCGCAATGCGACACCAGCCTTCAGCCCTGTCACGCTTATCGATTCTCTAGCTTCAACACCACGCGAGCGTCTTGTCGATCACCGTTCAACGGCCATGGCCACACTACAGTACCGAGATTAGCTTTTACCCTGACCGAGTCGCCGTCGAGCACAGATGGAGATTACTTCTCCGGATTTGCAGACTCATTTCATAAGATTGCAAGCTGTCACGGACATACAAGGGTTGCTGCTAGTCAGTGACTGAGTTTCTGGGGAAAGTAACCCTTGAGTCAAATCATAGGCCTCATCTCACAATTGAATAGAGTATGTTTGAAAGCGAGTGTGATTGCATTTAGGTATCTCATCCTACATGATCCATTCTTCCTTGTGCATCGCCTGGTTGCGGCGGTAGCGAATGGATTTGGTCAAAAGCACAGTATCTTCCAACAAACAATGGTAACACAAAACTGAAGCCCCAAGAAGGCAGTGAGCTCTAGCCACAGGCCATTGAGCTCACGTCCATAAAGCATATCCCAAGTCGCCCGTCCAAATCGCCGGGCCAAAAACCGTAGAGCCTTCCCGCCATGCTCATTAAAAGCAGTTCGCATAAGAGTCTGGGGAAACAAGAAGAAGGGGTGGAAAAGGAGATCTTCCCAATGGGCAAGAGACGAATGGTAATCGTGATATTCGAAAGATGGCAAAAGTGACCTTGGTCAAGTGCAACAAACAAATGAACTAACAAACAAGGAAAGCTTCGTAATGGGCCGTAACAAGAGGCGTCCGGAGAGCGCCACAGTAATATGCACAGGGGAAAAGATTCCCGGTTTTTCTTTCCAATCCGTGATTGATAGCTTAGAACACGGTGCTCTTGCGCTTCTCAGCGCTGGTAAGAACAAGCTTGGGCATGCGGCGCTGGCCGTTCTCCTCAGGACGGATGTCGACCAGGCCGCCTCCAACGGAAGCACCGTCGTCGCTGCTAACACTGTTGGCGGTGTAGGAGCGGTTGATGGAGTTGTCGCGGGAGCGCTCCTTGGAAGCCTTGCGCTCTGAGCCAATGGCGCCGTTGGCAACAGCGCGGAGGCTGCCAATGCTGGGCCTGCCCGAGAGGCTGCCGCTTCCTCCGCTGCGAACACTGTCGGAGTCGTTGTCGGACGAAGGGAAGTGGTCGCTGTCCGGCGAGGCGCTTCCGCTGCCGGTACGGTGAGCGCGGCGGCCGATGCCAGCTCGCACAAGGTTGCCTACAGCCTGGCGGCGTTGACGAGTGGCAAAGTTCTTGCTACCCTCATGCTTGGTAGTGGGACGCTCCTTGAGTTCCTCAATGGAAGGAGGGTTGCGAGGCTGGCGAACCGGGTGCTCTCCAGCGCGTGCTTGACCAGGGCCGAATGTGCCAGTCATCGGGGTGGCAGGGAAGCCGACCGGGCGGGTGAAGGCAGAGCGAGGACCCTCCTCGGCCTTGCCATCAACAGCAAGAGAAGACAGGTTCTTCTTGTGGCCGCGACGGAAAGCGTTGGCGGATGGCGGTGGGAGCGGGACCACATCCTGGGGTGGGGTGTTGGACTTCTTGGGCGGCGAAGTGCTGCGCGAACCCCAAGGGCTGGGGTTGCTCTCGTTGGGAGGAGAGACGTGGAGCACTGGGGTATCGACCTTGGGCGGCGAAGTAGCGAAGCGGGGAGTTGGCGGCGGCGGCGAGTGCGACAGACCCGACATACCATTCTGCGCCTGCATGTCGCCGTTGTCCTGCTGGTAGCTCGGGTCAACGACGTATTGGTACTGGCCAGTCATCTGGTTGAAGACAAGGTAGACACCAGGCTGGTTGGTCTCCTGGATGGCAGCGGTGTTTCCAAACTGCTGGCCATAGGCGTTCATCTGAGGAGTGTATGGCGTGTTGGGGTACTGCTGCCCACCGCTCATGTTCATGTTGCCGAACTGCTGGGTCGTCAGAGCAAGGAGTTGCTGCTGAAGCTGCTGCTGCCTCTGGGCGAGGTAGAGCTCGGTAGCCAAGAGCTGAGCCGCAACGTTGGGGTCCATCTCGCCGTCATCGAACTCGAATTGGGGAGGGGCCAGGACCTGGTTGTAGAAGTCGGGCTGCTGCTGTTGCTGCTGGTACTGGTTGACACCGCTGAAGCCAGAGCCGATGGCAGTCTGGGGACCGCCCTGGTTGGTTCGGTTGAACTGCCTGGAGTTGTTGGCGTTGTTACCAATGTTGTGCTGGCGCTGCGAGTAGGGAGCCGAAGCAGGGGGCTGCGCAGACGTGGGGGTCTTAGGCGCAGTGCGGAGGCCGGCCAGGAGGTGGGAGCGGCTGGTGCGAGGAGTCGCAACCGAGTCCTCGGCGATGGAGGCAACCTTGGGCGGCGAGGCGACGCTGAGACGCTTAAGCTGAGCGCCCTTGCCGCGAGAGGCAAAGCTCGAGGTGGGACCGCCAAAGCCACCCTGGGATTGGAAGTTGTTGTAGGTCATCTGAGCAAGACCGCCAGCGTCCATGCTCATTGTGGTGGTCTAAGAAGAGTTGCGAACAAAGAGTAAGGTGCAACAAGGAGTATGCTAGGCGCACACGGGGAAAGATACAGAATCGAAGAAGGCCGGAAGAGGGAGTGTTGGCAAGACGGAAACCGAGCGTGCACCGGGGAGACGTTTGCTGTGAGGCAGGGTGCGAATTGGCTGGCGATTATGGGATTAAGGATCGTACAGATCGGGATTGTAAGGTAGAGTTGATATCGAAAACCGGCCGATGGGCAATGTAGTTGGAGCTATTAACAAGTTCTTCGGGCGCTGAGTCGTTTGATGTGCAGTCAGAAGGATCGAGTGGTGACGGCAGCAGGCGCGGGCTGGCAGCAGCGAAGATATTTATGAAGGGGAATAGACGAACAGGCAGCGACGGGATCACGGGCAGACAAGCTGGTGGTTGATGCGTCGGCTGGCGAGCTCTTCTTCTCTCGGGGGAGCGACGGGACTGGCGCGCTCGCACAATCTCAGATTAGGCGGGGGGTAAGCTGGTCCAACTGGGGGAGCAGGTAGAAGATGCAGAAGCGGCACTTGTTGTCGAAGAGAGCGAAGGGAGAGAGGTAGAGAGGAAAGGGCGAGATGGAGGAGGGGCCAGGAGAGAAAAGTGACGAGCAGCGGAGGAGCAGCGAGCCATGGACGAATGCGAGCGCTATAAGTGACGGGGGACCTGTGGCAGCGACAGCGACCCTGCATCGAGCCTAGCGCCTGCAGGCCCCCTGGCCGCGCTGGACGCACGCTTGAAACGCTGGGCCTGATGCGTAATAACTGCGCTTGGGCCGCTCCTGCGTGCGAAGGCCCTCGTGTGCGCGCTGGAGCACGTCGCTTTGATGCCGTGACGATGCATTGCGCGAGGTTGAGTGCTGCTACTGTACACAAAGCGTTCGCTGCGCTCGCGGGTTTCAGGCGCTGGGCGTCATTTGCGGGATGCTCGCTCCTGCCGCACCGGGCGAGGGCCCTGAGCGCTCCTGCCCGACGCCACGACCGTACCTTCCTCGCGGCGCACCCAGCAAGGGCAAGAGCGACTGGCAAACAGAACCACCGAAACAGCGTCTTCTCATTGCTCGAGCCCCAAGCCCACGAGCACACCGCAAGACGTGATCCACTGCATCGATAGCGTCTATCTACGCCATCTCGGCCAGTCGTTCGTAGCGTCCCAGTAGTTGCCAACGGCGGCTATGCGCCTGCGCGCTGCTACTGGCCAGTCCCATCGCGGCCACCGCAGCCCTTCAGCCACGCACACTCGCTCTAAATATACCCACCACCACCTGTTCACCAGCTCCAGCGACTCCTCTGCAACGGCATTGGTGTGCACTCGTCTCTGCTCCGCAACGATGAACAGCGTGGCATGCGCATGAATGGACCCAAGCCCGGCACACTCCATCTCAAATCACTCACCTGTCTGTCAGCAGTCAGCTTCCAAATGTCCGCATCTCCCACGCGCAATCTGCAATGCATGTCGTGCGGGAGGAGCATGCTTGTTGGCGTGTGCCGACCCCGGACCTGGCTGCTGTCACGCTCCCACTGCAGATCCAGCGAGATGCTCGGTGCCTTGGGGCGGCCTCGCAATCGAGTCCCTTTTTTCCACCTTTTTTACACGCGTCGGCTTCCGCGGTCTTTCCATCGACTCGTGCCACTGCGCGTGCAGCCCCTTCTTCGCTGTCGCCTGCCGTTTCGTCCCGGGTCTACCCTGCTGTCTCGCTCTGAAACTGTCGCTCCGTCTCAACCACCGCAGCCCGTGCGTCGCTCCCTCATCTCGCTAGACTCTCCCTGCAGCAACGCCTGCCAAGCGACATTCGAAAGCGTGAAACATGCTCTCGTTATCGTCACCTAGCGTTTGGGCCCCCGAAGCTCTGGGATGCGGAAGGCGCGCTGTCAGGGCGATGCTTGAACGCTGATCTCCATTCGCGTGTGGGGACGACGCCCCTTCGTATGGAGAAGTCTGAAGACAACTCACAGGTATGTATCATCGTCCAAGCAAGCTCACCAGTCGCGCCGCTTCCGCCTGCTGTACATCGTTAGACTCGCTTGCCCTTCGCGAGACTATCGAATCTAGCACCGAGGCCATTCGGAGTGAACCCGGCTACCGGTATCGTATTGGCAGCCGTTCGGTCAGAGCCGCCGTCTTTAGCGGGCAGTAAGACTGCTTACGTCCGAACCGGCCGACTGCCCTTCGAAAAGAACCTCATCAGAACGCTTTCGTTCTGGACCGGAAGCCAGCGGCAACGATTAGTGGGGCGCATGAGCCCGTTCGGGAGCGCAGAAAAAAGGCAGGAGTGAGGCGCAGGACTAGACACGACAAGGCAACACGAGTTTTATATGCCTCGAGGTTGGAAGGCTTGACATGTCTAACAGAACGGTG